CCTGCCGGGAGACAAGCTGTTTTGTACTCAGACAATTCAGCATTCGATCCCGACACCCACAATTGATAAGATTAGAGGAATAAATGTCAGACAGTACAGGATACCTCAAGTTTTGAAAGATGAGGTAGACAAACAGACAGATAAGATGCTGTCCGAAGGGATTATTACTCACAGCATGTCACCGTGGAATTCACCTATAATTATGGTACCCAAAAAGATAGATGTTTCAGGAAAACAAAAATGGCGGATGGTCGTAGACTATCAAAATCTGAATGAGGTCACAATAGGGGATAGTTTTCCACTGCCATTGATAACTGATTTGCTAGATTCTTTAGGACAGGCCAAATTCTTCTCGGCGCTGGATTGCGCAATGGGGTATTATGAAATTCCTCTTAATCCAGACGACCAACCTAAAACGGCATTTTCCACACAAAAGGGGCATTTTGAGTATAAAAGAATGCCAATGGGGCTCAAGGGATCGCCTTCGACGTTTCAGAGGTTGATGAATCATATAATGAGTGGTATCCAGGGTGTACAGGCACTGATTTACCTAGATGACATAATTGTATATGCTAGAGATTTGCAGGAGCATAATGATAGATTAATAGAGGTGTTTGACAAATTGAGGGAGTATAATTTAAAATTGCATTTGGACAAGTGCGAATTTTTTAGGGAACAGGTAGTCTACCTAGGTCATGTGATAACGAGAGATGGGGTAAGGCCGGACGAAGCCAAGGTGTCCGCCGTAAGGAACTTTCCCATTCCACAAACACACAAACAAGTGAAGGGTTTTCTCAGATTGACCGGATACTATAGGCGTTTTATTCCACAGTATAGCCAGATAGCAAAGCCGCTATTTTATCTGACAAAGAAGGGAAAATATAAACAATTTAATTAGAAGCAATTTAATTAAAATACAATATTCAACTAAAACAATTTAACGTTTTCATTAAACAATTTAACTATTTAACTGAAACTATTTAACTTTTCGTCTAAAAATACTCAAACTATACTAAATTGGGCAGATTCATGATGTGCTGTATTAACGATGCAAACACCACGTCG